CCTCGGCCTCCCAGAGTGCTAGGATTACAAGCGTGAGCCACCGTGCCCGGCCCAGGGGAGGGTTTTTAAAATGATGAGGATTTCTAAGAAGGTTTAAGATACATGTTTTTAAAAAAATCACTTTGAAGCAGACCAAACCAATCTGTTGTAACAATGTGTCTGAATGGATTAAAGGTGCTTGGCAACTAATAGACATTCAATAGATATTTGTTGAGTGCTTGAGAATATTTCCTCTATTAAGTTAAATAGAGAATAATTCCTCTATTGAAATAAATAATATAAGTAGCATACTATCTTAGTCCATTTTGTGCTGCTATAACAGAATACCTAAAGCTGGGTAATATATAAAGAACAGAAATTTCTCACAGTTCTGGAGGTTGGGAAATCCAAGATCAAGGATCTGATGAGGGCCTTCTTGCTGCATCCTCACATGAGGGAAAGTGGAATGGAGGGAACCCACTCCCACAAAGCCCTTTTCATAGCAGCATTAATCCATTCCTGAGGGCAGAGCCCTCATGACCTAAATGCTTCCCATTAGGCCCCACCTCTCAACGCTGTTGCATTAGAGATTAAGTTTTCGATGCATAAATTTCGGGGGACACATTCAGACGATAGCACATACCTAAAAAAATTAAGAAATAAAGGGATGGACAAAAATATACTAGGTAAATGAGGGTTCCCCCTAAATCAGATAAAGTAGACTAGAAGACAAAAATAGACAAAAAAAAACCACATACACACAAAACATCAAGTTGGAAAAAGAAGGCTAGAGAAATAATTTTCAGTGAATATTTAAAAAATGAACTTTAGCATGTCAAAAAATATGACATAGAATTATCTTTTTAAAAATATTTGACATAATTTGGAGACATTTTTCTTATTTTTCTAACGAAGTAGACAGAAACAAACAGCAGTGAACTTAGGGACTTTCAGAGAATCCATGAATGCTTTGAACACAATTAGCTAAAAATATTTTTTGTGTATAATCTTTTTCTGGAGGAGATAGAGTTCAAAGCTTTAACCTGTAATTTAGGACTTCATTTTTAAAAGAGTCATTGACCCAAAAAACGTTAAATACTGCCAATAGAGGGTCTAAATAATATAATAATTGATTTAATGATATATTTTTAACTTTTTAACCTATAAACATGAATGCACACTCTTTTCGAATAACTTACATGGGCTTATAACACTAAGAAATGACTGAGCTGAAGCTCCCTCTGGCTCAGAGTCTGTTGCTTCCCTTATTTATTAAAAGAGGTATGGGCATACCTTTTAGATATTGCAGGTTCGGTTCTGTACCACCACAGTAAAGCAAATATTGCAATAAGGTGAGTCACACAAATTTTTTGGTTTCCCAGTGCATATAAAAGTTTTATTTACAGCTGAGTGCAGTGATTCACGCCTGTAACCCTAGCACTTTGGGAGGCTGAGGTGGGAGGATAGCTTGAGGCCAGGAGTTCGAGAACAGCCTGAGCAAGAAGAGTGAGACCCCATCTCTACAAAAAATTAAAAAATTAGCTAGGTGTGGTGGCACCCGCCTATAATCCCAGCTATTCGGGAGGCTGAGGCGGGAGAATCACTAGAGCCCAGGAATTTGAGGTTTCAGCAAGCTATGTTGATGCCACTGTGCTCTAGCCTGGGAGACAGAGCAAAACTCACTCACTCTCTCAAAAAAAAAAAAAAAAAAAAAGCTATGTTTATACTGTACTGTCATCTATTAAGTATGCAACAGCATTGCACACTTAAGGCATGTGTAAATTAATTTTAAAATACTTTATTACTAAAAATGCTAATGATCATCCCAGCCTTCAATGCATTGTAATCTTTTTACTGGTTGAGGGTCTTGCCTTGATGTTGATGTCTGTGGACTGATTGTGGTTGCTAAATGTTGGGATGGCGGTGGCAATTTCTTAAGACAACAGTGAAGTTTGCCATAGCAGTTGACTCTTCTTTCACAAAAGATTTCTCTGTAGCATATGATGCTATTTGATAGCATTTTTACCTGCAGTACAAGTTCTTCCAAAATTGGACTGATTCCTCTCAAACCCTGTTACTGCTAAGTTTATGTAATATTCTAAATCCTTAGGTTTCATTTCTTTTTTTGTTGTTGAGATGGGGTCTCGTTATGTTGCCCAGGCTGGCCTCGAACTCCTAGCCTCAAGTGATGTTCCTGTCTCAACTTCCCAAAGTGCTGGGAGTATAGGTACGAGCCATCGTGCCCAGTCTGTTGTAATTTCAACAATGTTCACAGCATGTTCACCTGGAGTAGATTCCATCTTAAGAAACCACCTTCTTTGCTCGTCCGTAAGAAGCAACTCCCCATCTGTTCAAGTTTTATCATGAGATTGTAGCAATTCAGTCTCATGTTCAGGCTCCACTTCTAATTCTAGTTCTTTTGCTGTTCCCACCACATCTGCAGTGACTTTTTCCACTGAAGTCTTGAACCCCTCAGAGTCATCTATGAAGGTTGCAATCAACTTGTTCCAAACTCCTGTTAGTTGTTGATGTTTTGACCTTCTGGGAATCATGAATGTTTTTAATGGCATCTAGAATGGTGAATCTTTTCCAGAAGGCTTTCAGTTTACTTTGCCCAGATCCTTAAGAGGAATCACTATCTATGGCAGCTATGGCCTTAAAAAATGTTATTTCTTAAATAATAAGCTTTCAGAGTTGAAATTACTTCTTGGTTCATGGGCTGCAGGATGGATGTTTTGTTCACAGGCATGAAAACAACATTAATTTCCTTGTACATCTCCGTCAGAGCACTAGGGTCACCCAGGTACATTGTAAATGAGCAGTAATATTTTGAAAGGAATCTTTTTTCTGAGCAGTAGGTCTTGACAGTGGGCTTAAAATATTCAGTAAACCATGCTGTAAACAGATGTGTTG